ATCATGCAACGACTGACAAACTCAGGACTGCCCCAGCAATCAAACATGTTGCAAAGGTTTAATATGGTTGAACACAAGGTTCTCCAAATAAACATCACATCTATACTCTCGGAGCATTGAGAAGAACCATGACTGACAACATGAAAGCATATGACAAATGATCACAGCAACAGGTTGGAAGGGGATACAGTGTTTGCATCCGAACCGCGAACCGTCCAAAACAACTTAATGTAACAGCCTTGTGACCTTCCTGGTGCTACAAGCAACACTTGAGATTCCACCCAACCGGTCATCTAGCTGAGCGTCTCTAACTCAAGAGTTGCCAGACTGACGGAAAATTGTGCCTTGAAGCAAGGCTTTCCTCTCCAAAGGATGGAGGGTGTTTCAACAAAACATGATCCTGACAGTGGCTGTGTACAGCTTCTAGCAGCACAAGCACAAGAGCTGCCGGAGAATCAAAAGCAAAGGGAAGGGTAGTGCACAGAAAGGGTTTTGCAAAAACCTATTCTACTAACGTCGTGGAAGGCGCGTGACCTTCGTAGAACCCAAGGCTGTTCGTGGACAGTTCGTGGAATGGTGGGCCAGTAGGAGAACTGACTGCAACGAAATCCCAGAAACCTTCCCAGAACTTCGTGGAAGGTATTTTTGATGCACTAACTTCGTATAAGCGATTTTTGCTGACCCCCTTTCTCCACACACCCTCCGTTTAGCCTTCAGAGAAGGTCGCCACCGAAGCGACGATCAAACAGTGGCTTTAGTCCGGTGTCCTCCCACTTCGGAAATCTCCGTCTCCAATGGGGCAGGCCCCAGCCAGCGGGTGTCGCTTGGGGAGCCACGTAGACGGAAGATCTTGAAGAGGGTTGCGACCTCCGTGTCTCCCAGGAAGAGAGGCAGGTTGATGCTGAGCTCCCAAAAGTAAATCGGGTGGTCTGCGCCAAGGTCACGGCATCCGTGGTGTAGCTGCTCTTGGGCCTGAACAACAAGGCCGCGCAAGACCAAAGTCTGCGATCTTGAGGGAACCCTCGTGCATCATGAGGATGTTCTGAGGCTTCAAAACGCGATGCAGGACCTACCTGATATGACACGCGCGCAGGCCCTCCAGAACGTCTGGGGCTTATATCGTCGCAACTCGTGCGTGGGCATGATCTGCCCGTTCCTGAAACCTTCAGCACCTCACTAAGATCACATTTGAGCCATTCGAAGACCAGCCGGATGTCTTGAAACCCCAGGGTCTATTTTGGTGCTTGAACGACCACATTAAGGAAATGTCCCTGAACCTGCTGGCTATTCCGCAACATTCTTGGTCAATGTGCATCTGCTTGCTCGCAAATATTTGCTGCGATCAGCATTCCACTGATCGCCACACCGAGCCATATACGCACCCTTACCGATCTCTTAAGGCCAGATATATGGTTGCCACGGTCCAATGCCCCTTCCTTCCTTTAAAGCTTTACTGCAAGCCCCGGGTGCTTCCCAGCTGTTCATCGGCAAAGCGCACGCAGAGCTCATGTTCATCACGGCCACAAAGATTTAATGCAAACTGCAGGGCATTGCCTGTTTGCGACACGGCTGCGGAGACAATCTCCGTCGGTCCTCTTGAAACTCCACTCCACAAATTCCAAGGCCAGGCCCGAATGCTGCCATCATCGAACCCATCTCGGGTGCGATCTTTTAACCCCCACTCACGGAGTGCCTGCAGACGACTGCAGTGTCAATGGTGTCAATAGATTGAGGAGACAAAATTGGGAAGGCAGCTTGCGGTCAGATACCCAATGGGCATGGCATGATGCCTCTGCATCAGATTTGGGTTCCAAAAGGATCTTTCGTGGGATTGCTGGCTTGGCTTGGCTCTTCAGTTCACACTTAAGCTTCTAAAGGGGTCCAAAACATGGGCATTGCGCCATCTACTTCTTGAACTATCCAACCATCCGTGCCGCACTCTTCCACTTGCCTTGCCAGGTTCAGTGCCAGCTGTGTCCCAAGGGTTTTTGGTGCTCTTTGGCGGCACAGTTTTGGGTGGTTCGATGTCTATTTTTGTGGGTCACATCCACAGCGGGAGTGGAAGAGGATTGAAGGCACTGAAAAGAAACAGAAAAAACGTCCATGAACGTGTCCCTCAACTCCAAGTCCAAGTCTTGCTTCACCCAGGCATCAACCAAGATAGCTTGACTTGACGACTCATCACAGACATTGACATCTAAGAGTTGAGATGAGTTGTTGAATGTTGTTTCTCATCCCTTTCGTGCAAAACATACAGGGAACCCCCTCACATGCCTCCCTTCACTCACCGGTTTTTGTCCAAGGCCCCCGCGCGCGAATGATCAATCCCATCGCCTGCCGGCGCGGTTGGGTTTGTGACGAAGATGGCTTGGTTGTGCCCTACAAGCGATGCCCACGTGGATACTACTGTTGGAAAGCCAAGTTACAATGGAGGGGGGTGGCTCCGGGAACGAGACATGAGAGAGGTTTGTGGGAGTGGAGATTTTGAAGGTCTGTCCTTTCAAGCAGGTGGGTTGAGGGTGGCTTGGTTGATGTTGGTTGGTAGCTTGATTTAGGCTGTTGGAGGTCCAGTGTTGGATTGGTGAATCTGTTGGAGGCTGGCAAATGTGAGGTGAGGTTGGTGGCCTGCCTTTTTTTGGAAAACAAAGCTGAACGAGTCGTTGGCACAGACACGTGCGACAGAGACGCGAACTTGGTCATTTCAGTATACAAAACATATTAGAAAATGATAATGATTCAAACAATAAGAACAGCACCAGGACCATCCAAGAGGTGTCTATAAATAGTTTCTTAGAGGTGATTCAGGGTGTCCAAAAAAACCGGACTTGGAAGGTCCTGGCAGTTGTATTGTTGTTTGTATAAACCGGTTCCCTGCACATCTCAGGTGAAGAGGGTGTGGCTTCCCGAGACTCGCGCAGTACGTGCGGATGCTCATTCCGTCACCAGCTGGGTGGAGACTGTTCGGAGACTGTTCGGTGGGTGGACCAGCCCGTCCCAAGAAACACAGGCTGCTAAGCATTGCTATGCTAAGCCACGTGGCACATGAATTTTTGTACCGAAGACTTCGGCGGAGGGCAGGAGAGTGAAGGTGTTCGGTTTCCTGTTGTTTTTGTTCGCCTGCTGAGTGATTGAAGGCTGTATTTGGTGAAGAGGAAGCCAAAGCCTTGCAACAGCCTCAGCAGCCGATCGGGAAAGGCCCGGCGTTCTTGAACCCGTCGAGTGGGTTCATTGGGTTGGTAAATATATGGAAAAAGAGATCAGCTGGGAATCTTGATCAACTGGAGAAACATAGAAGCTGAGCATCAAAATGAACCTCCCATCGATGGTGGGGTCCATGAATTCTTTTACAGAGGTTTGGAATGGGGTGGGTTGGACCCCTACATCCAGATGTATGAGAATGGGGCTGGTCATGGCTGGTCAATTCCCTAAATCAATCAGACACAGTGATCTGGCCCATGGTTTTTTTGGTTGTCATTTCAAGAAACTGAGGGCCAAGAACGCTAAAGGCGATTCTTGAGGCGATTCGACAGTCAGGAGAGGAACAACGAAGGGAGACTCCCCAGTTCCACATGTTCCACTGCTGGGAGTGTGTGGAACTGTGTGTCATATCCGCACATCTCCTTGCTGGTCGTCGCTGGGCGTTGCCACCCCAGACCTCTCGGTCTGGGTGCAATCCAAGTGAGTGAACTGTGAGCCTCGATCAAGCCGGCCCAGGTCCTCCGGGCTTGCACTGCTTCGAAGGATCTCAAGCACAGAATCCAAAGCCTGGGAACTACTCCACGCCACAGCCCTGCTATCAAGGCATCAGTTTGCCTGATGTGGTGAGAATGGATGAGATTTGGTCGGTTGTTTAGAGGGTTTACTCACTATATAATTAATCTGTTTACTCCCGAGATATCTGACTATATCTGACTATACTGCATACTAATTGATTGTTTCATTGACAACACGTCGCAGCGATCACTGAGTTTCTTCACCTATGACTAATGGAATATCCACTCACCAACTCACAACCGGTCATGAGAAAATCCCAAAAGGATGTTCCTTGATTATCCATGGATAATCCACCTGGATATCCATGGACATGTCTTGGAGGCCACCCTTGAGGTCCCAACTGGATCAGACCACCCTGTGGATTCGCTCCGGACCTGGCTTGAGCTCGACATCAGGTGGAGCTCGACATCACGGAAAACTCCCTGCAACAAAAACCACCTGTTGGTCGAGAAACATGGTCATCCGGGCAGTGGAAACCACTTCCATGAGTAATTTCATTCTCAAAGAGAAAACCGGGTGGCTTGGATTCCACTCTCCGGGCTAGGCTTCTTCTGTCCACCTGCCAGCAGTACGCCCTACGGAGCGGGTGCTTGTCCTTTGGGGCCCGGTGCCCCAGTAGTGGAGGACCAAGTGAGTTGATTTTCTAGACTTTGAAGTCACTGCGGGTACCTGGGGCCACTCAGTTGTCATGGATGTGTTCCAAAAGTTTTGGCGGTCTCGTTTCTTGGAGGTTTGGGCCTCTCAAGATCAGAGGATATTAAAAGATCGTCACCACGAAACGTACTGTTTCATTCAGGGTCCCATTTCAGGTTTCATGCTTGAGTCTCAGTTTATCTCCATCAACATGGGGTTCATGACTCCCATTTGTTTGACTTGTTGAGGGGAGGGGACGAAGCAGCATGGGGCGCATGGGTCGAGGCGCTACTGCCCAACGCCTCGCCATGCAGGCTGGACGGGCTGTTTCACGGATGAAGGAGTTTGTCTCAAAGAGTGTGAAAGATAGCAGTAGCTTTAAATGAGAGCATATCATGTCGAATATACAAAGGCCATTCAAACAGAAGGATTGCTGGCCAAGTTGGCGTGCTCTGACCATTGGTTGGCACCCAACTTCATCAGAATGCTATGATTTGTACACCGTTTGTGTTGCAGCTTGTCACCGACGCCATTCAAGGGCTTCAGGTGAGTAGAGATTTGCAAGTCAGTGTGTGGACACGTGCTATACCCAAATGGCATCGCGGCAGGAAGTAACTGCTGATGAAGCTTCGAATCTCCTTCAAACTGGAGATTCTATGCCAAGGTCTACTGAACAGCGCTGCTGCGGTGGGACTCTGCTCGTCCTTGGGGTGCTAGCCCCTGCATTTCGTCGCGTGGCCTTTCAGGCTTCCTGTCAACCGTACGATCAAAAGCACTACATCAAAAAGTCTTTGGACATGTTGTCTGAATGGTATCCGGAGGAGCCTATAGGGGCACATCTCGAGAAACTCCTTGATGACATTGACAGAGATTGGACAAGAGCAGCATTGATTGCAGAGGCAGCAGCATCAGCTATCGCTTCTGGAGAAGCTGCTGAGGCTGCATTTCAGCAAATGGACACCAAGCTGGAAGAAATGGCCACTTCGGAGGAAGCAGTGGCAGAGACAGCTGAGATCGCAGACGCGGCAGAGGCAGCAGGGGGCTTGGGGGGGGCAGAGACGGCAGGCGAGGCGGCAGCAGCAGTTTTCGCACCCGAGGTTTTGGTTCCAATCGCTTGTCGTGCGCTCATTTTTCTCAGGACCTGCGGATTCAAAGGTATACGCAAGAGTGCTCAAGTCAGCTGCCCTTCATACACCAGTCTGGAAATGCAATCATTCTGACTTGACACTTGAGGATCACCCGTTTCCAAGAGAAAGTGCCACAGAGCGAGGCCGGCGCCTGATGACAAACAATGCAATCACTGAGGGAAGCTGCGTTTACTACATATTGAAAGTTCTGTACTATCTTTTTGTGGCATTTCTGGAGCTGGTCGGCCTGTCTGTCGACGAGGAGACAAGGAATACGATAAAGAACCACGTAAAGCTCATTATTGACAAGATTGGTGAAGAAGACCTAAATTCTCTCGAGCAGTCGTTGGCAGCAGTGCCGACCAGCAGTGCCACAGATTGTCTCTTTGCGGTTTGGCGATTGTGCTCAGAATTTGCAGGGGCTTTTGTTTGGCCGGTTTTGAATATTGTGATCCACGAGTTCTGGCACAAACTTCCATGGTGGCAGTGGGTGGAGACTGCTGTGGTTGCGATCGCACAGATGCTTCTATGGTTTGCAGGGCCGACTGGCGTATTCGCTATGTCACTAGCAGCAGCCAGGGATGTAACAAGCCTGGTTGAAGCTATTGAAGGCCTCCAGGCTTGTCGGCCGACAGTGCACTCGATGTCTAATTGGATGGCTCAGTTAGCTCAACGGTTCCTGCCCCGCTGAAGACAGCAAAACCTGGGAGAAAGTAGATAGCCTAGGGGATCATTTTCTTAGTCAGGCAATGACTGCACCTATGGGTCGGGGTACTGCAAGGTGTTATCAAACATCTGAGTTGTGACTGGAGTGCGAAGATGTGCGAAGTCACTCTCGCGGGAATCGAAAATGCGTGTTCTCGCACAGGATCCATGCCTTCAGGGGGCATTTGGTGCCAGGGTTTGGCAGGTTTGCAAATTGGGACAGATTTCAGCTCCTCTTCTCAAGATCACTTTCTGACTCCAAAAAACTGCTGCTCGTTTAGGGCCTTAAAAGGGTTCGCCTCTGACCGGGTGGTCAACTTTAAGGATCGAAAGGTGGTCCGGATGGAAGTTGTTGAGAAATTCACGTGTTGTCGTCTTTTTCGGAGCAACGGGAAACCTAGCATCACTTGATCACTATACAACGGCAGAACTTGGCAGAATGCTGCGTTTTGTCCTCCAAAACCATTCAAACACGGTTTGGCTCGCTTTGCCATTGAAAGTCCCTCCAAACAGGGGGGCCCGGTTGATGAAAACCGGGCAACCCGGGTCATGGCGTCTTTGTCCGCGACTGATGACTGACTGACTGACTGCACCGGCAGGAATCGTTTGCCCCGAGAGATACATGTTTGCTCCTCAGTCAACGGTCAGAACGGGGCCACCCATGACCCTGCCGGGATGGATGCACTGACTCGTGATTGGTTGGCTCAAACGACCCTGCCGTCTGAAAATACCATTTCTTGGTCAACCATCCTCATTTTACATACGCTGGCTTGGGCGCAAGCCCCTGTTAGACATGACTGCTTCCTGTTTTGGGGCCTGATGTGTGGGAATCTATAACATCTAAATTTGATGTGTGATGTTCTGGAGCACGGACTCGAGCAAACGAGCTGCGGTTCAGTTATACTTGTCGTTGCACGGACCACTCCATCTACATTCCGATCATCACCACGGATGATGGATGTTGTGTTTGGACTCTGGGTTTGATTTTGTTCGAGGAGTTGCTAGCAGCAGCGCACTTGGAAAACATGTGTCCGTGCCATAGGTTTGCCCATGTTTGCCCACGAACCAATCAACACACTACGAAAGCGAACAAATGCCTGCAACCACATGATTCATGGAATTTGGCTGATGTTCTTGTCCTTTGAGCATTGGACTTGGAGCCCACGCTCGGCTCAGAGGCCAATCCACCAGGTCGCTTGGCTCGGGTCTTTTCATTCCCAGTTGTGTCAAGGTGTGGCCCGTATCCTGGCAACACGGAGCCGGTGGCCTGTCCAGCAGGCACTTTGAGACGGGCGAGACCGGATCGATGGAGCCACCTGTCTGACAGCGCAGCGAGCTGGTACCAGCTTCATTGTTTTCACAAGGACAGTGGTGCGAAGATGGGTGTGGAATCTTGCTCTGAACATGTGATTTCCCCAATCCCACTCTGTTGCTTTTGTCTAGACAGCAGTGGATCCAATTTGCAACGCTTCTTCCGTCCTCGTAATGGGGTCACCAAAGGAACAAATGCATCACAAAGCAAAGGAATAAGCCGGGGATTTGATACAAGGACTAGGAAGTAGACCAAGCTGCAATGGTTATGATTCAATTGAGTCTATGTGCCCTGGTCCTGGTCTTGACCAACATGAATTGGGCCGTGATATGCCATGATCTTCAACTCAGGGACCCTTAAGGCAAGGTAGTAGGCCTGGAATGGCCTGGTGGCATTGGCACTTCGTCGAAGTCGAGCCGAAGTCGTCATCCGTTAGCCGCAGGCTCTTTCAATCCTTGGCAGGGTCAATGGAACTGCACGGTTTGCCTGGAAGGAGGAGTTTGTGGGGTGCCCCAGCAAGGTGGCTGAAGGACACACCTCCATCGAATCGCGTTTTTTTCATGCAGCAAGATAGAAAGGTCACAAGATATCCTGGGATGGTCCATATATAGTATAATATGTTCTATTTATGTATTGGTCGCTTGATGTTCGAAGCCGTATGTTTGGCTTCCAACTTCACTTTGCCCAGCTTTCTCTGACCTTCACCGGAAAAAGGTCGGTTCACTTCAAGCGAGCTGAGGTCCCCACAGCCGCTTGCGATTGCCGATCCCATGCCCTTGTGGCTATGAATGCCGTGCGGGGTCTTAGAAGTGCAAGACCAGCAACAGCAGCTATGGCCCGGGTTCAGCACCAAAGCAAGGTATATATAGCTAAGGTTAGTAATTGGTACATAGAGGGCGCCAGTCTCTCAGACCTCCAGTAATTCAATTACTTGCAAGCAAATATAGCGGAGGCCAAAGCGTTGGGCTGTTCACCTCAGTTGCCAGTGGAATGTGCTCTTCAAGGTATATAGTATGTGCTTCGCACAGTTTATGTATGTTTCAACCAAATGGTCTTCAACAACAAGTCTTTCTGGTCTTTCTGCGTTTGTTTAGTACCGCAGCACGGTTGAATCCTTGCGTTTGCTTGCAGTCCAAGATTGATTCACTTCTGTGTTTGTGCATAGGAAAAAGTATCAACAGGTTTGGCCGGGGGCCTGTTCAATCCAGTTCTTCGCTTCTAAGTTTTGGCACCACCCGCATACCAGGCCCCCCACCTTGATAACGCTTCTATGTCGTATGGGAGCCAGACCCTAAACAGCTGTAGACGGAGTCTCCCAAGCCGAGCTCCCGCTTCCCGTCCGCTCCCACCGACCGGTGGGAAGACCAGGAGACCGCGGCACCACCCGCGCGCAAAACCTTTGTCCCGCGGGTCTCATGTGTGATGAGGGGGTCGGGGCCTGAGTGTCGGGTGTCTAGAAATCAATGCTTCATCTGTGAGCCGACCTCTTGAAACTGAGCAGTTTTGTTAGACGAAATCCCCAAAAGAGTGGAGCTGCCTTCGACACTTCGCACCTTCTCCCACGCAGTCCGATTGCATTCCCTTTCCCCAAACGCTCAAACAACACCTGCCTATAGTGGGCCGGGGGTCGACGTCGACGTCTCTGGTGACATCGCATGACGCACCAGGTGGCGACCAACATCGAGCCGCAGCTGTGCGAGCCAAAGACCTTCGACATCCGCGTCGACACCAGTGCCCCACTCAACACGTCGACACTTCGGGGCGGCGAGGGGCTGTTGATTGACGGTAGCCACGGCGTTTGGTGCCAACAGGGTGCCAACAGGTGCCAACATGGATTCAACCCAGATTTGAGAGTGAGAGTGGCTAGGACACCCATGTTCATCCACGTGTACATGGTCAGGTAACATATCGCATATTTCTCATATTTCTCAAGGCTGATCACCGAATAGCACATTTGCGACATTTGTGCGTGCTTTCCTTCAGAGTCCTTTTTGCGGGCCCCTCCTGTTAGGAGTGGAGGTCACATGGGAATGATCAAGCCCTTTTCATTACAGAGGAGGACATTTCTTTGTTACTTGGAGACTCTAGGTAATGATTTAAGGTACATTAGATGACCCGTGACTACCCTTTTACCTCGGGAGCCTGTGGCAGGGTTTCTTTGGCTCTGCTACATTCTTTAGGGCTCCAAGGACCTTCTTAGAAGGTGTTTGGGGTGGGCTTAGAGGGTCCAAATACCTAAGGAGGTACTTGGAGCCTTAGGGATTGGCTTTTCTGTGCGATCCAACTCATAACGCCTTATTAGTCGTCCTTCTTTCACGAAAAACGGCTTCTCAACCGGCTCGCCGCCCGCCAGACGCACGCACCACCCGGATTTTCACGGCCCGTCGCTGCCGTGCGTCGCTGAGGTCTCACCCGCGAAAGGGAGAAGATTTGTGTCTACGGCATCGGTCAGCAGTTCGTGGACTATCAGAGGCGACGCGAGTCGCATGCGTGGGTGGGTTTCGCGTTCCGGCAAGTCGGTGGGTGCGGCAAACAAGGCAAAGTACCACTATGTCGATGTATATGGAGTCCGGCCAAAAGTCTATAATTAAAAAAAAGTAGATAAAGTGGTCGAAAGTAGCTTACGATGTTGTTCCCGAATGCGTAGCGAAGGGTTCTCGTTTAACTCTTGGGGGTCTGGGGGTAGAGCCTTGTTCGCGATCCGTTGTTTCTACGTCCGCAACCGTCCGCAACCGTTCGCAGTAGAGCGCTAAGGCGCTGCCATTGGGGGAAGCTTTTGCAAGTGACTTTTCATGGATGTGTCACGTGTCAGTTTGCGACGCTATTCCATTGTGATTTGCATAGGCGCAGCGTTTTGTGAGATCCGCAGGTTGCTACGCAGTTCCATTGGGATTAGCGTTTGGAGAGTCGTGTTCTTGGGGTGTTGGACATGGCCGTGCCATTGGGATTTGCGTTTCAGGGTGTGGCATCGAAGCTCTGTTTTCGTGACAAGTCTCAGCTGAAGTGCCGATTTTGGTGGATGGGAGTGTGCTCAGAACGCGTCGAAATCATTCCAAACGTGTGGTGTGGTGCAAATTTTGTTGAAGCTCACATGAGATGATATTGTCACTTTTCGCGGCAGGCGCAGTACTTTGTGCCGGTTTTGAGGCATGGAAGTGTGATTTTCGCGGCAGGCGCAGGGAATCGTGAGGTTGCGAGGTGTGACGGAGGTGACGTTGCAAGGCAGGCGCAGTACTTTGTGCGCGTTAGACGTGTGGACGCGGAAAGATGCGTGGCAGGCGCAGGGAATTGTGAGGTTGTGAGTTGTGGTAGAGGTGACTGTCGTTGTCTCATTGGGATTGGCGTGTGAGCGGGTGTTGTTTGGAGGGGCTGGAATCGCGAAACTGCTTGGCAGGGCTGCGTGATGTGTGTGCTCCGATGGGTGTTTCCGCTTGACTTTTGGAGGAAGTCTCGTACGAAACGCTCGTTTTGGAGACTTTGACACGTGAGTTTTTGAGGAAGTCTCGTACGAAACGCTCGTTTTGGAGAGTTGACACGTGACTTTTGGAGGAAGTCTCGTACGAAACGCTCGTTTTGGAGACTTGACGTGTGACTTTGGAGGAGGTCTCGTACGAAACGCTCCGTTTTGGAGACTTGACGCGTGACTTTAGGAGGAAGTCTCGTACGAAACGCTC